TGTGGTGCTGGGGGATTGAACCGCGGTCCCTATGCTTTGTCAAGCTTGTTGCAAGTAGGTGATTTAGACCACTGAGCCATCTCTCCAGCCCGAGCTCACTTTTTTTATTTTTTATTTTTTTATTTTTTTTATTTTTTGGAGCTCACTTTTCAAAGTTGTACTTTTGCCAGGGAGATGGCTTAGTGGAATAAGTGCTTCCCTGGCAAGCACAAGAACCTGAGTTCAACCCGCGGTTCCAGAAAAAAAAAAGTTGTACTTTTATTTATTAATTTATTATTTATTTTCTTGACAGGTTCTTTCTGAACACTGTCAAAGAGGAGGGGCTTCTGGGCAAAGCCTGGCTGCCTGCCACACCTGCGTGTGTCCCGGGCTGCTGTGGGGAGAAGTACAGGTGAGACCTTCCTTCTTCAGGGTGGCCCTGAGCCCACGCCCCATACAGATCCTTGGCCCCAGGGTTCCACTCATTTACCTACTTTTTCTCCCTTTCCCTGCCACCTCCTCAGCCCTTCCACTTTGCTGCCTCTGCAAGGGCCTCCTTCCCTCTGTAATGATCCCGCTTACCCAGAGACCCACAGGGCTTGTGCCAGCAACACTGAGGATCTAGAAATGGTTGTCAACTACAAAGGACTGCTCATCTCACGCTCCACTGCTGGCCCTGGGCATCTATCTCTTATGGAAAGTAAAGGCTGCCATTCCACGCTTGGTAACGGTTTGTGGACATCTCAACATTTCAGAGATCTTTATTTTCTAAGTATTTTGCTCTCCCCCCTGCTCCCCATAAAGCTTCTTTTCTTCTTTCAGTGATGATCCTGGGGACCCCTTGCAGTGAGCCACATCCACAACCCTCTCACCCCTTTTTTGGAGATAATGTCTCTGTAAACCCCTAAATTGCCTAGGCTGAGCTCTAGTCTGTGATCCTCTTGCTTTAGCTTCCTGGAGTGCTGGGATTATTGGCATGTGCCAACATGTCTGGATAAAATAAAATTCCAGGCATTTATATTCTCCTCTACAGATTATTTAAAAAAAAAGGGGGGCTGGTAAGATGGCTCAGTGGTCTAAAGCACCTACTTACAGCAAGCTTAGCAAAGCACAGGGACCGTGGTTCAATCCCCCAGAACCACATGCCAGCCAGCCCC